AGAATCACTACAATACTAGGCTTATATTTCCTAGTAAACAGAAAAAGCGAATTTTGAAATTGGGGTTTCACTGCTCCCCTACAGTTCCAAAAGAATAAATTCATTAAAAACTATGTTGAACGCAAGACTCCAAGGCTCTTGCATCCTTCATTCTTGAAATATCTTCCTGGTGAACTCTGTCCACCTCCATGCACGTAGAGATGGTTGAGGTTTCAGGATTTTGGATGTCGCTGCTGTTGTCAACTGATATATCAGGACCAGTTTTATGAAATGTGCCATATAACTGGTCTTGATTCTGGTTCAAAGTGCTATCTGCTTTCATCCTATTTTCCTGATCATGTTGATTTGCTTGCATAGGACTAACCGCCATGGGAGTAGCAATTGATGGAGATGGTGGACGGAAGTATGATCTTCACGATTTTCACTCTGGACTGGACACCTCTTACCCGTGCTTGAAGAAGGAGCCGCATGCATAGTAGGAACCGTTGATTTAGTCCTAGGGATATCTTTGGACTTTTTGGATTTAGTCCATATTTTCTGAGGAATTTCAAATTGAGGGGCCCCCATATGAGGAGTAACAGAATTAATTATTTGATTATGATCCTCCTCATTAATAGGTCCAGCTGTTAAGATTGCAAACGGTGATTGCGTAATTTCCTCCTTATCACCATGATTATCTCCATGATTATCGCTGGTCATAACTCCCTTATTATCATGATTATCATGATTATCGCTGGTCATAACTCTCTTATCACCATGATTATCGCTGGTCATAACTCCCTTATTACCATGATTACCATAATTATCGCTGGTCATAACTCTCTTATCACCATGGTTATCGTTGGTCATAACTCCCTTATCATTATTCCTTTGTAACGTTTTTGAACCAGCGCCTGGCTGGACTGCACCGGCCGTTTGAGGAGGATGCCGGCTCCTGCGTTGACGATTAACAACCATCCATGGTCCCAATCCTTTGCTTCGATGGAATTCTGAGTTGCCAGGTTCCTCTTGATGAATTTGATCGTCATTATGAATATCGGATGAACTGCGTTGCTTTGGAGCAGCTGAACAATTCTCGGTGCTATGTCCATATTTCCCACAACCAAAACAAATGAGCCCTAATCCTTCATACTCAATTTGTTTGGTAAATCCAGCACATAATCACCCTTTAATGGCTGAGATAGGTCCAGTTCCACACATATTCTTGCAAACCGTCCTCTTACATGAGCATTTGTATTGCTGTCTACCTTGATCATCTTGCCTAACCAGTTTCCAATCCTTCTAAAAAAAGCTTCATCATAGAATTCAATGGGAATATCCGGTAGCCGAATCCAAGCAGCAATCTTAGCAATTCCAGCACTATTAGGTCTGAAAGTTGGTTCCCACTTCCTCAACGATAAATAATGACCCAAAACAATCCATGGACCACCGTTCAAAGCAAAATTGAGATCATCCTTCTCACTAAACTGGACTACGAAAAAGTCATTACCAATATCAGTGACATTGATTTTGCCTTTTCTAGCCCATAAGGCATTTATTTTTTTCTTCATAAACTCCACCCCAATTTTCTTCCCAAGGAGTTTAACAATCAGAGCTTTCTCCCAAGGTTTCCTCATTCTCTTCCTTGCTCTTTTGGTGCAACTAAAATAAGTACGCCCATCATCTTCCTCCCACATCTTAATTCCTCCATGGTTGACATCCTCTTCCTCAACAGGTTCCTCCCCATCTAAGTCTTCCTCAGCAGACGCCTCTCCTTCCCATTCATCATCTTCTCCATTATGACGCATCAGAATTTCCCTCCAGGTTGAACGTTGGCCATTCTCATCTTCCATCCAACCTTCATGTCTAGGTATCATAGATACATCATTTGAAAACTGATCTCCCTCACCTTTATTCCTCTTATTACTTCTTTGAAGAATGTCAAGTTCTTCACTTGATTTGCCAGGATTCTTCCCATGATCACCTTTCTCTCTCTCACTCATCGCTCTCTCTTTTTCCAAGCCACCTAAAATAGCCCTGTTACTTTCTGTTTTCTCCTACGTACTTAGCATACATTGCACGCAAATCTTGTAACAAAGTTATGAAAAAAAGGCTCAATTACATAGTACACTATCTTTTTTTTTTTTTTTGTAAACACATAATACACTATTAAATTATGGTGAGTGTTGTATCTTCATTGTTATTTTTTCATATATAAACGTGGATGATTGTAAAAAAAAAAAGTATTATACCTGTTAAAAAATAATTTTTTTTTTAATATTTTAAAAATTTATAAATACTTTTTCAAGTAACTAATCAAATTATAATATCATCACATTAGTTTTTTTTTTAAATTTTTTTTTTTTGGTACAGAAAAATAAATAACTTTTTTCTTTGAACATTACGATATAATCATATTAGGTTTTTTAAATGTTTTTCACTAAATTTGTCTCTTAAAATATTAATGTGTTATCACAATAGTCTTTTAAAATTTTTATCACCAAATTAGTTTTTAAAAAATATAAAATATCATCAAGTTCATTCTTATAAAAAAACTAGACTGTGACACGAGTTAACAAATTTAGTACGTTGTTATACAACTTCTAAAGACTAAATCTATGATAAAAATATTCAAAAGATTAATATAATGTTACTTAAGTTTTTATGAACTAACTAAATGATAAAAAAATTTAATAGAGGAATGTAATAACAACTTAATTTTTTTTAAAAAAAACTAAACAAAAAATTTATTTTAAATATAATCATTATTTATTATCATCCCCATTTTATTCTGGCATATGACTTATCATCTAGAAGTTCGCAGCAAAACATGAAGGTTTTTTTTGGTAAACAAAAGACTATCTTGCACCGACATTGACACGAGACACAAGACACGACATGTCATGATACGCTGATACATTAATTTTAAAAAATATCATATTTCGACACGTTAGGACATATTTTGATATTAAATATATTTTTAATATATAATATAATTTATATTTAATACATATAACAATCCATAATAAGTCAGATTACCAATAAAATATTCAAATTTCATAATATAAATAGAGGAAGGTTATACTTACAACTTTTTTTTACAACCTCTTACAACCATATCTTAACACCGTTGATTTCCGCCAATCAACGATTATCATTTATTGTGAATTAATAATTAATTAATGAGTTTAATTTGCGAAAGTAATAACCGTTGATTGGTGGAAATCAACGGTGTTAAGATATAGTTGTAAGAGGTTGTAAAAAAAAGTTGTAAGCATAACCTTCCTCATATAAATATAAACAAAAATAATTTTTCATACCTTGTTAATTTTTCATGTTAAATTACATAATAGAAAAAAATTAATTTATAAATTATTTTGTCATGTTTAGTTAATAAAATAAATTTTAGATCTTAAAAAAAAAGTGTTAGATGCGTGTTAGAGCGTTGACCGCGTATCAAAAAACGTGTCGGAACGTTGACCGCGTTTCCCAAAATGTTAACCGCGCGTAGGAACATGTCGGTGTTCGACACGCAACTTCGAAATTTTTTTGAGTGTCCATGCTATATAGAACAAAAGTCTAAGTCACAAAATAAAGAAAGAACGCAAAAATAAACTTAACTATTACAACTCAAAGCACGAAGTCTCCCAACAGCTGACAGATTAGCAAGTAACAATAATTGGATGTCTGGAGGAGGTTCATGTCAAACAAGATAGTCTTATTCGTCAATCAGTCTACATATGAGTTATTCTCCCTCAAAATATGCCTGAAAGTCCCAGATCAATTTTTATCGATCCATGTCTGTATAGGAGAAATCAAATGATTCTCACAGACTACTACACCATTTCGAGTGAACACAATGATCACACTTATTGAATCACTTCCAATTATAATATTACAATATCCAACATTTCAAGCCATCTTCATCCTTAAAGGACGCTTTATAATTCTGCTTTGGATAAAGAACATCTCCCTCCATCTAGGTTTTTTTTTTTTTTTTTTGGTATGCTGGAATAAAAAAACCAGCAAGAAACTACAAAATAGACACTGTACGGACTCTACAAACAGAAGTTAAATCAACAATAAAACAGATTGAATCTGAGAAGGAGGAAAACAAAAAATAGACATATCTGGAGCACTAGGATTATCTAGAGCATAGTTTGCCAGCCTGTCAGCACAGAAGTTGCCTTCTCTGTATGTGTGGATTAAATGAACCCACTAGTCTCTTTGTAACCAAGTCCGTATTCGAACCACCAGATGTGATAGGTTTCTTTATTATGACCGTAGTGTTACGTAATGTTAATTTCTTTTGAAGTTCTTCTCTTATAATGTAACAAAACACTAAAAAGAAAATGCCAAAACAATAAGATAGTGTGATGGAAATGGAATTGAATTCTCCACAGAGCGAGGTACTCTTCAATTATTTTAATTTAATTATCACATCTCACATTAAATGCTTTTTTATCCTTCACTTGCAAAATTTAAGACATATTATCGATTTAATTTTTTCTTATAAATTATTTATTAATATAATATGAGTGAAGCATATACAGAAAGTGTGTGCATTTAAGTTGCACGTCAACCCATATTTGACTTGTGCAAAAATTAAAATGAGTCTTTCATAATAAATAATTAATAAATAATTATTTACAAAAAAAAAAATTAATAAATAATTTGTTACAAAATTAAACATAATATCTATATTTTTGTATTAGAAGGGTAAAAAATCCCACATTAAAATTAACTATTTCCGTCTTTTTTATTTTTAGATAAAATAATAAATTTAAAAATATAATCAAATACAAACTATACAAGCAAGCTCGAGCAACCCAGCTGAGCGAATTACTATATCCGTCCCTTGTTTCCTAATTCCCACCAATCATTTTTCTGTCCCAACATGGCAACATGGCATGGCCATGAGAGAGGACTTTCATTTTCACACACTGCCCGTAGTTACTACCCTTACCAACCATATTTGATTCCATTTTATTCTCTTTTGAAGTGTAGTTGTTATGCTCTTACTTCACCTGAACAACTTTTTTTGCTGGAGTGCTTTTCCCAGTTAAACTCATCTGGGAACCCACCCAAAGTCTAAACTTTGTTCCATTTCAATGAGCTTTTGGTGCTTTAGGGTACTGGGTATGGACAAGTTTGGGTCTTTTTGGTGAAAAATTTGGTGGGTGACTTGAGTTTTTGGTCAAGCATGAAGCAGTTTATGGTTTTGCACCTTGTAATTTGGATTTGGGCAATACTCCTTTGTGGTGTTGCTCAAAGCCGAAGGCCTGCCACTGTGAACATTGGTGCAGTTTTCACTTTCGATTCTGTCATAGGTAGAGCTGCGAAGGTGGCTATGGAAATGGCCGTTTCTGATGTCAATGAGGACCCACGAATTCTCAGTGGGACGAAACTCAACTTGATATCGAAGGATGGCGGTTGCAGTGCTTTTCTTGGATCAATTGGAGGTGGCAAGCTCGAACCTGAACCTTTTTTTTTTTTTTTTTTTTTTTTTGGTTTTTAATTTAAATGTTTGAGAATTCTAGTATATGATAAAAAAATAATGTGAGGTTGGATATGTGTAACAATTCATGTCAGAGACTAAGTTTCAGATGATTAGGTGATGCAACTTTAATTTGTTGTTTTTGAATTCCTTTCAGGATTTAGTCTCGTTATGCTAGTTGTTTTTTTTTTTTTATTATTATTTACTAGTGTTGCAAGATATAGTTGAACAACAAATCCCTGCCCTTTTTGATATTTCTTAGTTTAAGCTTGAATTCCTTTTTGAATTCCTTTCAGAATTTAGTCTCGTTAAGCTTGATTTTCTGTTTGATTATGCTTTATTATTCGTATTACTTTCAATCATGCTTGGTAATAGGTCTTTTTAGTGCTATGATATAGTATCTTTTTCTATACTAATTATACTATATTTTGGATTTCTAGAGACTGCTTATCACTTTCTGAGGTTGCAATTGTTGTTGATTTTTCATTCTGCTGCACTGGTTTTATTATTCCTCAAACATCACTTTATAAGCATTGTCCACTGAGTGTAAAATTCCCAAATTTAAACTTCCTTCTCCTTATACAGCTCTTCAGGTACTTGAGGAAGGGGTTGCAGCCATGATTGGCCCACAGTCATCTGCCATAGCTCATACAATTTCTCAAATTGCCGATGCTCTCCAAGTTCCTCTTCTTTCATATGCTGCCACTGATCCAACCCTGTCCTCCCTCCAGTTTCCTTTCTTTTTTCGTACGACACAAAGTGACTCAGAACAAATGACTGCAATGGCTGAACTAATTGAATTTAATGGATGGAAAGAGGTCATTGCTGTATTCTTGGATGATGATTATGGAAGAAATGGAATATCTGCTTTGGGTGATGAACTTGAAAAAAGGAGATTGAAAATGGCTCATAAACTACCTTTGAGTGTTAATTTTGATCTGGATGAGATCACTAACTTGCTGAATCAATCCAAACTGTTTGGTACTCGAGTGTATGTTATTCATGTCAACCCAGATCCAAGATTGAGAATTTTTTCCATTGCCAACAAACTTCAAATGATGGCCAATGACTATGTTTGGCTTGTAACAGATTGGCTCTCTGCTACCTTAGATTCATTATCCCCATTGAATCATACCTCTCTCAGTGTTCTACAAGGGGTTGTTGGTCTTTGTCAACACATTCCGGATTCCAAAAAAAAAAGAGCTTTTGTTTCTCGATGGATAAAATTGCAAAAAGAAGGTCTAGCAAATACTAGTTTGAACTCCTATGGATTTTATGCTTATGATACAGTTTGGACAGTTGCACATTCAATTGATAAGTTTTTGAAAGTGCATAATAATATGACCTTCTCTCCTCGTGATTTCTATATGCTACCTCATACAGAAAGAACTGGTATTCAGCTTGACAAGCTCAAAGTCTTTGCTGGTGGATCTGATTTGGTCAACATATTATTACAATCAAATTTTACTGGTCTGAGTGGTCTAATTCAGTTTAATAATTCAGACAGAAATATCATAAGTGGTGGTTATGATGTTATCAATATCAATCAGATGGCAATTAATAGGGTTGGTTATTGGTCTTATAATTCAGGATTTTCAGTTCTGCCCCCTGAAGTTCTTACAAAAAAAGAACATAGCAGGTTTTCCCCAGATCAAAAGCTTGACAATATCACTTGGCCAGGTGGAAAGACAGAAAGACCGCGCGGCTGGGTGATAGCTGATAATGCTAAGCCACTTAGAATTGGAGTGCCAAAGAGAGCAAGTTTTGTTGAATTTGTAACTGAACTGCAAGATAGTCATCAAATTCAGGGTTACTGCATTGATGTCTTCAAGAAAGCCCTTGAATTTATTCCATATCAAGTTCCTTTTGATTTCTATCCTTTTGGGACTGGTAAAGAAAATCCCAATTATGATGCACTTGTGAAGATGATTACTGAAAATGTAAGTGAGACACACCATGAAAAAATAAATAGTTTAAAAATTGGTTAGTCCATGTTTTATTAGATATTGGTCATTCATGGAATCATGCTTTTGTGAGTTAACATAAAGAGCTTTGCTGAAGAACAGCTGAGCTATGTTTTAACATTTAAGGTCATCACTGTTAGTTTTTGTTCACAGTGTTATCCAATATAAGATAATTCACTTAGGTCCTTTATACTGGGTTGCTACTTTACTTTTATTAGTTAATAGAATGGTTGGTTTTTTATAACCTTGTTTACAATTGAAAGTTTGGTTCAGGTATTTGATGCAGTTGTTGGAGACATTGCAATTGTGACAAACCGTACAAGGATTGTTGATTTTTCTCAGCCTTTTGCATCATCTAGCCTTGTTATAGTGGCTCCTATCAACAAAGCAAGATCAAATGCTTGGGTGTTCCTCAAACCATTTACAGCTGAAATGTGGTTTGTAACTGCTGCTTCATTTATGATGATTGGAGTGGTTATATGGGTTCTTGAGCACCGAGTCAACGATGATTTCCGCGGTCCTCCTAAGAGGCAAATTGTGACAATGTTTATGTAAGCCTTTATAGGAAAGTTATGCAATTTTCTCATATAAAACTTTTCTGATTAACTATGACTGGTAGTTCAGCGTGATTTGATTACCTTTTAGACTTAGCTTATAGAATTTGATGTAGCAGTAGGTACCTCATTGTTTATCTTGTGTTTTAGATTCTAACAGTTTGCTGTTACTTGTTTTTCAGGTTCAGTCTCTCAACACTGTTTAAGACAAATCGTAAGAAAACATTTGCTTCAGAGTCTAGTAGTTCCTTTATTTCCTTTTTACTTCTTGAGGTCATCATATAATTCTCTGTATGTAAAATCCATGGGTTTAATTTGTCTATCAAATAATATGTTAGCTAACATCCATTTCCCCCTTTCTTTTTGTGAGTTTTAGTGGTAAACTCTATCTCTCCCTGTTTCTCTCTTACTCTTAAAGATTTAGATAACAGCTAGTTGCTAATTTGTTGCGATAATCTTAATTGTAATTGTTCTCTTTTTTAATGCTTTTTCTATCAGCCAATATCAATTTTTACACAATGCACATATTTGTACTTGAATTAGTGTATTTTTATATCTACACAGAAACTTTATTTACATTATTGTCATGCAACGATGCTAGTGAGTTTGTGTCTTTTACTTACAGTATGCACATATAAACCTATAGAATTATACTAAATTTATATCACTATATCATTCTTTGTTGTCAGTTTACACCCATTTGCATAATACTGTATACACTGTATAGTTTCAATGTATAATCGACAATAGAAAACATGAATAGTTATGAATCTTTTATCGGGCCTTCATGATTGTTGAGATATATAAAAATCATTAATGTAGCCTCACTCAACAGCTTAAGCTTTTGGGTTGAATTGGTTCTCTACATGGTATCAAAGCCTGGTGTACCGGGTTCGATCCTCATCGCCTCCACTTTCTTTCTAGTGGAATTTCTTTGTTCGCACAGGTAGGTGGGCCTGTGCATTGTCCACCCTTCAAGCCTAGTGGGCTCTCGTGTGAGGGGGCGTGTTGAGATATATAAAAATCATTAATGTAGCCTCATCTAACAGCTTAAGTTTTTGGGTTGAATTTGTTCTCTACAATGATTATACTGGTGAAATAATGATATTTGTGGAATCTTCATCATACTTTGATCTGATCATCTTTCACATTGTCATGAAATTAGAGGAAAAGACAGTAAGCTCACTTTCTAAAATGGTGATGATAGTCTGGCTTTTCCTATTGATGGTGATCACTGCCAGCTATACAGCAAGCTTGACTTCAATTCTTACTGTGGAGCAGCTTTCATCACCCATAACTGGAATTGATAGTTTGATTGCAAGTAACTGGCCTATTGGATACCAAGTAGGGTCATTTGCTTACAGCTATTTGTCAGATAATCTTTATGTACAAAGATCAAGGCTTGTTTCCCTAGGCTCCCCTGAGGAATATGCAATAGCCCTGCAAAAGGGGCCATCTGGTGGAGGAGTGGCAGCTATCATTGATGAGCTTCCTTATGTGGAGTTATTTCTGTCAAAAACTACTGATTTTGGTATTATCGGACAGCCATTTACTAGAAGCAGTTGGGGATTTGTAAGTGACCTTCTGACTAGAAGATCAAAGTGATTGGTTATTATTATGTACATGATTAAAATAAAGTGCTCCAGATTTCCCTACAAAAGTGATATTATTGATCGCAGAAGCAACATGCTTATACCTTTTAACCAGGAAAAAATGTTACTATGTTTTATAATAGGAAAAATTCTTATCAAGAAATGTTTTCTCCAATGTACGGTTTTCAATATTTTCAAAACTCTTTTCAAACAAAGGCTTATATTTATGGTGCCAATCTTTTATCAGCCAAGATAGAATTACTGGACATGGCATGCAGTGCTGCTAATACAACAATCCAGAATTGCTCTTCTGTCATTTGGCTTTGAACAATGGACATCGTGAAACTTGTCTGTTAACTTATTTTAGTTATGATCTATTTGTGGCACTTGCTGACATATTTTGCAACAATATATCAGGCTTTTCAGAGAGACTCTCCTCTTGCCCTTGACATGTCTACAGCAATTTTGAAACTCTCCGAGAGTGGAGAGCTTCAAAAGATACATGACAAGTGGTTATGTAAGATGGGTTGTCCTGGAGAAAGGAATAGCAACTCTGAGCCTGACCAACTTCACTTGGTTAGCTTTTGGGGACTATATCTCTCATGTGGTGTTGTCTCTCTAGCCGCTCTTGTGCTGTTTCTGCTGCGAATAATTCGCCAATATGGCCGCTTCAAACAAAGACAAAAGGATATTGCTTCTTCATCTTCAGAACCATCAGGCATTCATTGTTCCCAGGTTGTTGTTAACTTCTTTAACTTCATTGATAAGAAGGAAGAGGCCATCAAGAAAATGTTCACTCAATGTGACAATCAACACAACCCCAGCTGAGATTATTAATATGATGATACCTGATGGCAATATAGTATCTGTATAGTGACAATAATGATAGTTTTGTATATGATTAGTAGTAGTACTAGTATTAATCTAGTTTTTCTTTTTCTTTTTAGAAAGTCCTGCTGTTAAATATGGTTTACTTAAATCAAATGCAATATGTTGTGAAGTTTAAAAGCTAATGATCTATACCCTAGTTACTATTTCACACGCCTCCACATTGGCAAAGGTCCAGATAACTCTTAGGGGGTGTTTGGTAGGTGGCAAAAAGATATTTTCCCTGGAGAAAGGGATGTGAAAAATTTAATGCCTATGTTTGGTAGGTGGATGAGTAAAAAAGTAGCTAGGTAGTTTTTTTAACCATCAACTGATTTTGTTCATGATTTGATTGTGCAAATTAGCCATCAAGAGTGTGGTATCAATTTTTTCCCACACTGTATGGAAAAATAAAGAAATTTTGTGAGACAAAACTACCCCACAACAACGTTGAGAGATAGAGAATAGTAATGTTTTCATAACAACGAAATTTAATATTCAAAATGTTGGGCAGTTTCGTGATTTTGCCTGAGTTTTCTATCAATATTTTATAATCATCTAAATATAACTTCAGTAAAATTCATCCAATTTTACTCGAAAAATTTGAGTCAACCAAACAACTTTTCTTAACTTACCCAACTAAAAAAGTTTCCAACTATATTCCTGTAAAAAATATCTGACTAGTCAATTTTTTTTTTTTCCTATAGGAAATGCTCCCTTAAGCTTTGGCATGGTAAAATAAAAGCTGCGGAAGCTGCTATCCGATGGCTTGGTAGAGTTCGATGAATCAAATATAGATGATCCACCTTGTTTCCTTACAAAAATTTAAAAAACTAAAAATGGTATCATGTAAAATGCTATCTAGTTGACTTCAAAATTGAAGTCCACATCCCGAGCCAAAGGGTCCTACCGTCATGTGCTCCACTGTTAAAGAGTTCAACCTTTCAGTTGAAAAAATTGGTTCACCTTCTGTCCCTTTGACTTTGTCAAAGAATAATATTTCAAGAATGTGAACAACTACATGAGTCCTCACCACTGACCAGTATGGCTTCAACTTTTTCTTTTTAGTCTCCTCAATAGTTTATCGTTCGAACTAGTCCACTAGTCCGGTTAGAGCACTGTCAGATTCAAAGTAGGGACGGCTCTCCCAAGATCATTTTTTTTTATTCTCAGAACTCGAATTCGAGATCTCTGTTTAAGAGATACAAGTTTGTGTCAATGATGTTTGGTATGGCTTCAACCTTTTAGTTCTGCTTTTAGTTGACAGAATTTGGTTCATCCTGTGTCCCTTTGTCAAATAATAATTGCTTCTGGTTCTATTAGGGTATGCATGACAACCATTCTATTTCCTGACACTGTTTCTGTAAAGAAACAATTTTTTTCTATTTCTATGCCTTGGAACAATTTTTGAGAAAAAAAATGTGTTTGATAACATGTTCTATTTTTATTCCGAGAATGAGAATTGTGTTTGATAACATAACAAATAATATAATAAAAAATAATTTCTATTAAATATAAAAAAAAAATCGGATCATCACTTTCCTTTCCATATGGTGTAGTTGTGGTGGTGGTGGCGGCGAGTAGCATGGTGGTGGCGGCGGTGGCAGTGACGTGGTGAAGATAGTGGTGGTGGTTGTGGCGGCAGTGACTGCGACGATGGCGGTGCTGATGGTGGCGACGACAGCGATAGTGGTGGGGATGGTGTTGGTGGAGGTGACGGCAGTGGCTGCGACAATGATGGTGGGTTTGGTGGTTGGTGGCGGCAACAATGGTAGCAGTGGCATGGTAGTGGTGGTTGTGAAGGCATCATGGCGGTGGTGGTTGTAACAGCCCCAAACCCTGTAGCATGATATTGTCCGCTTTGCCCCGCGCACAAGCACCGTCGAGCTCACGGTTTTGTTTCTTGGGACACCCCACAAAAGGCCTCACACTAGAAGAGGTATCCACACCCTTATAAGGCATGCTTCGTTCCCCTCTCCAACCGATGTGGAACATTACATCCTCCCCCACTGGGAATACAGCGTCCCCGCTGTACACACCGGTCCAGGGCCAGGCCCTGATACCAAATGTAACAGCCCCAAACCCTGTAGCATGATATTGTCCGCTTTGCCCCGCGCACAAGCACCGTCGAGCTCACGGTTTTGTTTCTTGGGACACCCCACAAAAGGCCTCACACTAGAAGAGGTATCCACACCCTTATAAGGCATGCTTCGTTCCCCTCTCCAACCGATGTGGGACATTACAGTGGTGGCGGTGGCGATGGTGGTAGGTGACAATGGTGTTGGTGATGGTGGCGTGGTGATGGTAGTGGCGGGGGTGGTGTAATGGGGGTGGTGGTGACAGTAATGGCTGTGACGATGATGGTGGTGGTTGGTGGCGACGACGGCGACGATGATGGTGGTGACGGCAATGGCTGCGGCAATGGTAGTGGTGGTTGGTGACAGTGGTAGTGATGGTAGTGGTGGCATTGTGGTGGTTGTAGTGGTGGCGATGAGGGTGGTGGCAGTGGCATGTGATGGTGATGGTAGCGGTGACGGCAGTGGTTGCAATGATGGTGGTGGTGGTTGATGGCGGTAGTGGTGACGATGGTGGTGACGATGATAGTGGTGGTGGTGGCGGCAACGGTGGTAGTTGTGGTGGTGGTGACGGTGGCATGGTGGTAGTGATGGGTGGAGGTGGTGGTAATGGTGGCGGTGACGACGGCACTGGTGGTACGATGACGGCGGCGACGATGGTGGCGACAGTCATGTCGGGATGATGATGGTGGTGGTGATGATGGTAGAGGTGGAGAGTGATTGAGAGAGATAAATATTTCTCATTTTGTGCCCGGGAACAAAAAAAAAACAGAAATTTTCTGATTCTTTTTTCTGTTCCCCAACACAAAAGTTAAACCGGTCATCTCGAGAACAAAAAAATAAATCAATTTTACCAAACGAGTTTCCTATCTATTTCTGTTCTCAGAAACAAAAATTAAAAAAAAATAATTCCAAAAAAGTTGTCATGGACACCCTTAAAATTAGGGTGTATGCACCCCACATGTGAATCCTACCACTAATGTAAAGAGATGTGATCGCCCCTTATTTGTTACAGCTTACAAGCATTTTTGTCATGTTGCAATCCCTCAAAAGTCATATCTTGGACCTACGTGTCTGGGACAATTTCTAAAACACTTCCTTCCACAAATATAAATAAAAGGAAACCTTTAGAAATTAATTCCACTCATTAATCACAAGAGCTATATTTAGTTGCTGAATGCTAGACCTGGGCATAAACGTAGTTAATAGTTATAATCATTATTATTATTATTATATATATATATATATATATATATATATATATATTATTCTTTCTTTCTTCTTTTTTAGGAAGAAAATTACTATTCATATATATATATATATATATATATATATATATATATATATATATATATATATATATATATATATGAGAATAGTAATTTTCTTCCTAAAAAAGAAGAAAGAAAGAATAATAGATATTTTGACAATTCTTAAGTGGCCACTCGTTGTGTATCAATTATTGAATTGGATGTGTAACCTTCATCTTAAGATGGATCCATGTCAGGATTGTTTAAAGTTGATTTATTTATGTGCTTGTATCCATCTCTCGTCTCCTTAACAAAATGCAAGAATCAACTTTAATTAAAAAGCAGGGAAAAAGATATACAATTAAATATCTTCCGGCATATTGACACAGGAAAAGAAAAGAAAAGACATAAAAAAAGAGAGAGAAAGAGATGAAAGATACCCTGGTTTAGAAACCCATTGGCCGGAGTGACTATCATTAATTCGTTATCGTAAAACTTTTAACGGCTATGCAACCATTAAATATCAATGTATGGCCAATTACGACAAATATTTTGGAATCAATTCCTTTGTGTGTATGTGTGTCTATATATATATATATATATATATATATATATATATATATATATATATAAGATTTGTTACAAAATAAGACAATGAATTTAAAAAAGTTCTCCAAAATTTTAAGAAAGTGTACAGACATTTAAAGGTTTGAGCAAGATATTTATGTTTAACACAGAATATAAATATATCATACCATAATACTTTATATTTAGACATTAGAAATATTCGAATATCTAAAATGTGTAAGTATCATACACCTGTTAAATCAACTGAAGTTTAGTGGAGGAAACTTTTCTGTATAAACGTCATATTATGAATCTTTTACTATTTTTTTTTTGTTACTCGAATCCTTACTATTTTAGCTTGGTTGATGGAACGTCATATCATGAATCTTTACTATTTTAGCTTGGTCGATGGGAAGGATTTGGGGAATACTATTTTTGTAGTTAGTGGTAGAAATAATTTGTCTGTGACATACACAAAAAAAAGAGTGAGTTCCATTAATAGTTTTATTCTCATTTTTTTATATAGTTTCTCCCTTTTATTTTTGTGTTTGTTGCTGATAAATTATTTCTTCCATAACTACAAAAATAGTTTTCCCTTCATTTATTGTCCATTAAAACCAAGCATTGCCTGATTGGAGCATTTATTTTATGAATTTGATTATAGGAGATAAAATCATTTTTTATACATATAAAAAAGTTTATGCGGCCCATGTGAAAAGAAAAGAGAAAAAAAATGAATGTCATACACTTTTACGTGTGTAGAAGATAAAAATTATTTACTATAATATGAGAGAAATTAAATCCTTATTTTATACGGGGATATTTGGTTAGATTAAAGATAAGTGGAGATAACAAAATGAGCACAAATAAAAAAAGAGCATACTGATTCTTTTCTTGGATTTTTTTTAGAGCTTGCCAATTTACTTACTTCATAGTAAATTATAAATTATTTTTAAAAATTATTGTCTCAATAAATTTCAATATATCAAGTTTAAAATTTTTATATTGCCATTTTCATGTTTTATATGCATATACTTCTTTTTTCTTGAAATTTATTGAAAACTTAGAAACACCGAATATTAAATAATTTAGTTGAAAATTAATAGGCTATTTTTTACGCATGAGATATATTTTCTTTCTGTAAAAAAATCAATGACAGAGATGAGGAATAAGACTTCTAAGTCTTACACCGAAGTCAAAAGATCTATATTCATATATATATATATATATATATAT